AAATGGCATCGCGGTTGGATGGGAAAGCTAAGCCGCAAAAGGAGGGACAAAAAAAACGACCAACACACTGAGGTCGGCTCCTCGAGATGTCAACTAGTGTATCCAGCCAAACGTGTTCATCGTCTTTCGAGCCCCAACCAGGGAGCCGAGAGGATCCAACCGAGGACAAATGTGAATTAAGTGCATTCATTCCTCTTGACCAAGTCACTGCTTGGCCTCCTCCTGTTCCAACCGCAAGCTCTGCGCGCGGGAGTCGGTGTGCTGGCATGTGTAACAAGTGGTCAAGCCTTCGGAAGCTGGTGTGTGATAAAACGGTACTGAGCGGTGCACTTTTCCCTCCTGTGCCAAAAACGAGGCGCTGAACATGCTCATTGCTCACGCGGTGTTCCCACCAGATGTAAGTCAAACTGCAAAGGCACCGGTGGTCGAAGGTAACTAGCCTGTTTATGTCTGCTGACGTAATGGACCAGGTCCCAGAGATGTTCGGCGTGTGGAGAAGGTAAACAAAGGTACTTAGCGCTGATGAACATTGTCTGTGACCAGACTCGAAAACATTGCACTACGCGACTAGTTGCGAATCCGTTTGATTGTGTGAGGTTGAGACAGCAGGTATCGAAACCACTATCTCTAAACGACCGAGTCACAGTGGGAAATGCAAGTCACGACGAATCGCGGCTCACGTTAAGATTGCGCGTTGGAAGCTGTTCACACGAAATGACCACAGAAATCAGTATATTGAGAGGTTTATCACATTGGGTTGGTTTGTTAAACGGACACACGAATTAGGCACCGGATTAGCCGTACTGACGTTCACCACATGTCGGAAGAAAAGAGCATGAACGTTAAACTACTGGGCGAAAAGAGGATCCATCTTGGTTGGGTAGATGTGGGTCGAAAAATGTAATTTTCGCACTTCAGATTCGCTGGTCTTGAATCAAAAATGTCACTTTTTGTGTATGATATTATAAAACCGTAATGAGACCTATTCGTGTACAAGGGCATGAAGAGATACCACAGTGGAAAAGGTTGTTCGGCCCCGGAGAAGTGCGTCGAGGTAACCAAAACCGGTCCATGTGGATTTCAGTGGACATCCAGAACAAGAGACATAAAGCATATCAGTTGTACGCCGGTGCGTCGCATCGACTGTTCGCTACCACCGGTCGGACGCGGAATAGAGATACCACGAGATCGCTTGCATCTACGCCACCCACTCGGCAACCAGTCAACACTCAGATTAAGAAAGTGCGAGACAAAAGCATGGAAAGAACATTGATGACTGGTGAGAACTTTAGCTATATATTCACCAGAACAGTTTAGATATCGTTTAAGCAGACAGCTTCTCCATATAAAGAAGGGACGCACCAATCTCACATTGACTTGATAAAAGTGCTGGAGGATATTTGATGTCAATAAGCCCTCTCGAAAAGCCGCACAACCGAAGTGTGGCAGTCGGATGCTGCTAGGAGCGCTGATAGCATCATCTAACAGCTGAGAGTCGATAGATGGAGCAACCAAACCTAAGAAACTACTACTTGTCCTACGCACAATAGTGCACGCAAGATAGTCCACCGGGCGGGCACACTTGACTTTTCATGCCTCCAAGGCCCATAGTGCAAAATACCTGTGACGAAGGCAATCGTTGACGACTGTGAGGCGCGTGCACAAAACCGAAGGTCACGTCGGGGGTGTCAACATTTCCAACTTAATGGAACACGAGTGTAACATACATTGGGCACTGTGCCGGAAGGGAAAAGTATCCTGAAGTGCCCTATGCGCTGGCCAAAATCAGTTGCAAGTTTGTCGTGGAATGTTGCCACATTCTCAAGTGGCCCTAAGGCAGCCGGCAAATTATCACATAGGGCAGCGCAACTAGGGTGTAAACATGAGATCCCGAAAATGGCATGACGTTGAGATCTTGCAGGGGAAGCTGAAGAGTAGTAAGTAGGCATATCAAATAGACGAGAGAACACGCGGGAGCGCCACAAATGATCGTTTCGTGTAACGCAGACTCATCGGAAGAGCACAATGCAATCGAATTGAGCTAGATTCTAAACCATCTAAGAGACTGAGCTGAGTTACACATGAAATTGTCGTGGGATTTCATCGCCGGCACACAATATGCCGAAGCATGACCTGAGACAAATCGGTGGGTGCATTCCATTCGACCAGCACTAACTTGTTACGATAGCGTGATTAAGGCAATAGTTTACCACTTGATGCAGCCATACAAGTCCTACAACTGAAATGAGGTTGCATGGTTGTTTTATCCCAAAACGACATTCGGGATAATCACAGTGCATCTGTGTTCAGTACGACAGCGATTACAAATCCAGAAGAGATTTGGGCAGTAATACTTATGTCATCATCATCAATACACGATAACGGATGGTGAGAAACACACCTCAACTAAGGTGCCGCACATTGAAAAAGATGTAATATTATAAAATAAAAAATCAAAGCAAGAATATAGTGCTAAGTAATATATAACGCATTGGTTATGGGATCCTGGTTGGAGGATGAAAATAAGCAGGAAGGGCAGTGACAAAAAAGCTCATAACACAAACGTCAATGAGGTCCGCTCTTTAAAATGTCAGCTAGTATATCCAAGCCAAAGTGTTCATCGCCTTTCGGACTTCAATCAAGGAGCCTAGAGGCCCCACCCGAGACCAACTTCGTAGTGAGAGGCTTCAATCCTCTAGAACAAATCACGCTTGGCTTGCCCTTCTTTTTTCATCCACACCATGGTCGCACAAATAACACAAGTTGCAGGAGTCAGTGTGTTGACATGCGCAACAGAGGGCCAAGCGATCGGAGCCTGGTGCGTGATATAATGGGGTTGAGCAGTTCATTCGCTCTTCCTGCATCAAATACGGGATACCGAACACGTCCGTCGTTCACGCGGTGCTACCACCAGATCTGAGCCAAACTGTGAAGGCTGCGATGGTCGAACGCAACAAGCCCCTTTATAACTGTCGGTCTGATAGGCCAGGTTTCCCGAACCTACAGTAGGGTTGAACGGACGGCTGCTTTACAACCTCTTTCAGGGCGAGAGTGATGTCGCATCAGCGCCACAGGTGGGGGAGATTAGCAAAAGCGCCTCGAGCTTTTGACATACGTTTCGTGACCTCCTCTTTGATTCCGCCCGCGTTAATAGAACTGCCAAGGTAGTTGAATTTCAGGACGACTTCTAGCTGATCCTCACAAACTGCCAACGCAGCGATGGATCCACGCCAGTCATGGAGACTTTGCAGTTCGAAAATGCTAAACATAATCCGGAAGGATTGACAGCTAGAGCTAATTTATCCAGTGAAGCTTGGGACGCTCGGGAGCTGCACTAGTTAAGGCTTATGTCATCAGCATAGTACAAGCCAAGAAGTGGTTCACCAGGGAGCAGCTCCAAACCTCGTAGGTCGTGCCCGGTGAACGCCGTTTCCATGACTCCGTCAATGGCAAAGTAAAAGAGGAAAGGTGGCAAAGGGCATCCTTGTCTCACACCGATGGAGATATTAATGGGCAGCGACATTTTGCCACAAACCCTCATTCTGCCCGAACTGTGCGCGTACAGCGCACTGATATTTATCGAGTACACCTTTCCTGAACAGACAGTCCCAAAATGAACATGGATCCACCGAATCAAAGGCACTCTTGATGTCGAGGAACAGGACTACAGTGGATCACCGATAAGTATGGCTAAATCCCTATCATCAGAAAATAAGGCCTCAGCAAAGGAAGCAGTCTCCAGGGTCAATACTGCACGCGGGAAATGCGTGTGACAGTGTAGAATGAGAAAAGCGCCATATCACAGTTGGATATTTGTTCATGGCAACTATCGTTGGTCACACGTAGTCCTTAACGTAACGATGCTAACAAATCCCGAAAGAAAGGTACGGTTGTCCAGTCCATTCCCGGATAGGCGGTGGCTGGGTGAATATGACAAAACTCCTTCGAAATTCCAACCGATTCTCTCCTTACATTATTCCATAATGGCAGATATTAAGTATTTCCCAAGAATCTTTTTTGATTCGAAGCCAATACCACTGGACTTGTCGTCAGAAACTTATGCCACGGTGCCTACCAGAGCTTCCAAGGCTCCAAGAACGATTACAGGATCATACAAATAATGGGATGCGATATGGAGGGCGACAATATCTGAAAATGTCCTTAATGCTACAACAATTCGAGGATTAGGTTGCGCATACCGAATACCCCTATCTTCCGTCCAAGAACTGACCCTGTATTGTTGTCACTACGATTGTCACAACATGGTTAACTGTCAAACACGAAGGTCCGCGGCTGTCACCCATGACGAAGTGGCACTAGTTGCTGGCATCCGGAAGTCGTGGGGTCCGAACCCAGAAGGGGTCCGCTGGAAAGTGCACCACTGACGAGACCCGGAATGTCGAAACAGCGCTGTCTGGTACTTTTCCAGACTTTCCGAAGCCTGCTGACTGAGAGTGGACCATGATGAACTATCTCTAATTATCGATTTGATTGAAAAAGAAATCTCAACATTTTAAGCAAGTCAATTGTGGCACGTAGGGACGGTTGTGGCGAAAAATTGGGCTACGATAGAGTACTAGGCGTATAAAAGTTGTCCCATGGAGTGTGTTTCACGATGTGTCGAAAATCGAAAGTGGGGTGTGATCAATGCGCTACACGTTCCGTATGCTTTGCATGATGGTCAATGCAGTGTGATATTGAAGCGATTGTGTGTCGTGTCGTTCATGTTAGCTGAATAGGTGAGGCAAACCCATTTATTGATCGACTGCGGGGGAAGCACACATGCTAGATGAGTCGGGATACCGACAGTGGAGAGGATTAAATGGTTGACCGACTAATTTGCATAAACTTGGCGCTACAAAAACCACCTTGTCTGGAAGCCACTCGGAAAATAAATAGAGCGTGAAGACGGTCGCATAGGTAACACACCCACGACAAGCGGACCAAATGGAGAGTGACGAAAGTGTCCGCGACAACGGTATGAGCGGAACACAACTCACCTTTGTTATTGTACACATCGAGGTAATTGGGAGCGGAGAATATGGTGATGAGGGCAGGAAATCCGGTTTGACGACTTTTTCGATACATTCGATAGCTAAATAGAGAGTGGAGAATAGACGAAAGTTTAAGGCGGCAAGCGCTGTTGTGCAAGGAACGTTAGAGCTTTGATGTGCGAGTGTGTAGAATAGGCGAGTCGAACAAACCTACTTGTGTGTGTATCTCAGGTTGACAGAGTCTCTCGTTCAGAGTGTTAGTTTAAGCGACCGCATGAATCTCCAAATATCCACGGTGCAACAGCTTTAAAGTGGATAGTGATTAACGTGAACACGTATCCCCGCCAATGTTCTCCAACACTCTAGTATGGGGGATGACTAGATGTTTTGACTAACTTTGTCAAGTTTATGAAATCACCGGAGGGCAATGCGGTCCACCTCCTTCCAAACAAGCTGGATTGGATCAACATGGCAGGCGAAGGGGCACTACTAGCCATAAGAGAAATCCATGTCTGACTGTAGCAAGATTTAACGCCCCTATTCGTTCGGATAATCAGGGCTATTAGTGACACCTGTTTGGTTCCTAATGCCATCGACGTTCAAGGAGCACACAATTAACACATTATACAGATACAACCACAATCATTCAAAAATCTGGGTAGAGTATACTGAATATATACTGAATACTGAGAATAGAGAGCAAGGAGATAAAAAAAACTGTTGGTCCATCGTAGGTAGATCGGGCACGTACGCGAAATCACATCGCTGATTCCTGCGCAGTGGCAGCATATTGCAACTGCACTATATCTTAACCGGGTGCGATTCCTTCCCTATACATGTAGTCCGCAAAGTGGGCGTCAAGGAATCACTTAAATTCTGACACCGATTTCGCCTCGACTAGCGTTTCCGGCAACTTGTTCCAATATGTCATAACTCGACGCTCGAAGCATACAGGGTGAGAGATGTGCTTTAAATCCGGTACCACTAGTTTGCGCTGGAGTCCACGCGTACTGCTTGGTGCGCAAACGCGCAGCAGCGGCTTAAAGATAGGGAAGTGACCCAGGTGCAGTATCCGGTGCGTCATAATGAGATCAACCCGAAGCCGACGATACGACAAGGTATAAAGCCCTAGTCTTCTACATCGGTCCTCGTACGACATATCCCGTAAATTGGGGATGAGCCGGGCAGCTACATGCTGGACTCGTTTCAGTCTATGCACCTCACCTGTTGTGATCGGGCAATTGGCGGGTGAGCCGTACTCAAGCACTGGGTGGCAATCTCTGCAGAACAAGTGTAGAAGCTGCGTCTAAGTATCCAAAGCAGGTGTAGTTCGTTTGCGTACAGTCTGTTCGTGTTGTTGGCTGACTTCAGATCACAGCATGAGAGTACGCTCAGATCCTTTACGGGACTGGGGGGATGCAGCGGGTGGCCGGCCAGGGTGTACGCACGCCCATTACTACCCCTCCCCAGGCTCATAAACGAGGACGTGGCCGAGTTGACCGGTAGGTCAACTTCTGCAGACCACCGGGATAGGCGGTCGAGGTCTTGCTGAAGGACATCACAGTCGCCGGGAGAATCAATAATCCTCCAAATCTTCAGGTCATCCGCAAATAATACGCAGAGCGACTGAAGAAGCTGAGGTACTTCGTCGATGTGGATCAGGAATAAAGTGGGCCCCCAGTACTGTGCCTTGCGGTACGCCGCAAGTGTACGAGTACATTCAGTTAGGTGGTCATTCACCTGAACCCGCCATCTTCTCTCAATAAGGAAGTCACTGATCCACTGGTGCAGTGCGCCATCAACACCACACATCCTCAGCTTGTTGAACAGGACCTCATGGTTCACTTTATCGAAAGTTTTACTGAAGTCAATGTAGATAACATCCACTGACTTCCCCCGATTCAACGCTTGCTACCATTCATGCCGCGTCAACAGCAGGTTGGTGATGCACAAGCGGCATTTCATGAAGCCGTGCTGTGCCGGCGTTGGAAGACTTTCGACTCCAGCAGCTGGAGAAGACCCTTTTCCACAATCGTCTCGAGCATCTTCGCCAAAACAGAGAGGAGACAAATCGGCCGGTAATTGTCCACATTACCTGGGTCACCACTTTTTGGAATCGGCTGCATTACCAAGCATTTCCAGTCGCTCGGCAATGCACGTTGGACAGCGATCTGTTGAACAGATCCGTCACGGAATGCGAGATGATGGCCAATAAGGACTACAAAATAAGCGAATGAAGCTCATCGGGTTCGGCAAGTTTTGTGCCATCAAGATTGGTGAGTAGACTGTGGATATCTTCTACATCGCAATCAAGACCCTCGAACTCAGTAGGGGCTGCCCACGTCCAGTTCGGCATAGGCGTATTCCCACTTGTATTTACGGAAGCGAGGTGCTCCGCCAATGCGGACGAACGTTTAGTGCTGGAGGACAGAGGCTGTCCGTGAGTGTCCTCTAATACAGCTACGTTATTTGCGGGCCTCAGACGTCGCTTCACGTAAGCAAAAATCTTCTGGGGGGGGTCTACGCCGAAGTTACAAGCTCCTCTTCGAATTGCCGAAGCTTTCGCGCTTTTGCACAGATTCCACTGCCTTTTGTGCGTGTGATAATCGTCGGCAGAGCTAAAGACGAGGAATTTATTCCACAATACGCGTCGCTGTCTCTCTGTCGAAGCGATGTGGCTACACTGGTCCAGCTTTCCGGTACTTGAGGGGTACGAAACGAGCGCACAACGATTGCACAACCTCTTTTATAACAAACATGTTGTGCTGCTCCAGTTTCAAAAGCCATCTTCGCAAACTGCGCCTAGACTTCACAGTACCCGGGGAGAAGTTGAACCTCAGGCCACCGTATTCAAGGGAAGTTAAAATCACCCATAACCGACTCATGTAGTTTCTAGCATGCGGCAACCAATCAAGACATCGACTTCGCGGGCTGCGATAAGCAGCCGCCACAAACAGTTCACCATGTTTCAGGTGGATCGAGCAACATACCTATTCGTACAAATCATCTTCGCCACGGTAGGTGTGTACCAGTCGCCCGCACAGCGAGGACCGAATGTATAACAGCACGTCGCCTTGATCGTTTGATAGTCTGTCGTACAGGAAGCAAGAATAGCCACTGATCTGGACTTCGTGGGTAGCGACCTCGAGATTTAACTAGGCTTCGGCCAGTCCTAGTACGGCCGGACGACGGAAGGCAACGAAATGAAATACATCGCGCCGTTTCTTCATTAAATTACAAAGATTTGTGAAGGCTATGCGCGTGACGCGGTAGGAACCGGCAGTCGCGCAAGAAGCGTCATCGATCTGTTGATCCGGGTTTGGCAGACCCAGGGAACTACCCGAAAATTTATGATGTGGAAATTGGTTTCTCCACTATCAGTCCGCCGCTTCAACTCCACGATAGCGGACTTCAGTTTCACTCTGTCCGACGGATCCAAATCGGGACGAATATGGATCTTTAGACCTCTTAGCTTATCGAGGCGGAATAGTATCAGCATCGAACTCATTGTATCAACAAAGGTGACTCGCAAAAGGCCAGGATTTCCCCTCATCTTTCTTTCCAAGACGGGTGATTTGCTTCACCCGCAACCCCTGTACATTCACGTCGAGAAGCATATAAATCAGGCTCTGCAGAAAACCCACGTCGTGGTCATAACGAGCCAGAGGACTAGCATCTGTCAAGTCAGGCGCGTGAAATATCATAAGGTTACAACGCCGTTCACTGCTGGCAGTTGTCTTTGTCTTTTTGTTTCGCTGCACGCTCCACTGACCTTCAACACCTGCGCTATCGCATACCGGTATGTTAGTGTCCGTAGAGCGCAACACAGGCACGCCAGCTGAGTCTCTAGCAACGGGTGGACAACGCGCTGGAGAGTCTGGAGCCGATGTGCAGGTGGGCTCATTCGCTTCATTGGATGAACCCACAGAGCGCCACCATACGGAACGTTTCGACCGTCTTGTAGGCTCGCGCGGCTTCTCGGTTTTCTGTGACTGCACAGACATGACACATGGGGCTCCATCAACGTGTGGGCATCGCACTGAGCAGCCTGCAGCAGGTGGGCAGCTGGGCTCGTTCAAACATATAGAAGGGTGGATTGCAGCTTCTTGGGATGAACTCACGGAGCTTCACACTATGGAACATTTTGCCCGTTTGGTAGGCTGGCGTGGCTTTTCGGCTGTTTGTGACAGCACGGTGGCCTGCCATTACTTGCACAAGATTTAGACAAAATCATTCTGAATTTCACGCAGTATTTTAAAATGATCTAAAGAAAATATAAAATGTGAAAATTCACGCCACACGTAAGACATGCAATAGCATTGGTTCTATGTCCAACTAGGTTGTAGCAAGTGCCACTGGAGGTCAGCTTCGTCCCTTACGGATAGCTTAGCAGATATGACGGCAAAATTGATAAAGTGAACGATAAGTACACGATAAAAGTACCAGAGTAAAATATACGGACACGAAACTAGTACACAATAACCAAATTCAGAATCTCAAAAGCAACTGAATTTGACAAAAATAAACACGAAAAATCTGCTGTGCACAAAGTAATGGACGATACAAACTGGCCTGTCAAATAGAGTAAAAGTAAATATTGAGTAACAGCAAAGTTCAACAAATGTGCAGGAAACCCTCCGATCTGTAACGGTACATGTAATCGAGAGACGAAAGCGTGATTTCCGCTAGTTCTGACGTAAAATGAGCACGATGGTGAAGCATCGCCATCCATGAAGGCGGTTCGTGAAATGTATCATGCGATTACGTGTCGATAAGTAATTTACTATGCAAGTTGTGAATTTGCGGCACATTTTTCAAAAGCAATCCGAATCCTTCGCTTAGTTGTAAGTAGAGGGTTTTGATATGATTAAGTAAGTGGAAGCGGTAGACAGTCGTTTCGTCTGGTCAGGACTAGTTTTCGGTGCGTATTCCCTGGATCCATTAAGGACGGAACACATGGCCCCTCGAAACCAGGTGCTCGCGCCACTAGCTAGCGTTTTAAGCCACTAGACCATGGCTGACGGCCGCAGACCATCAAGACTTACAAGCTAACTTCGACGTAGTGCAACTCATTCTAATGCCATGGATATTACCAACATCCCAGGGTAGTGGGTTGGTCCCGAGTTACGGCCTCCTAGAACAGCAGTTGTGTATGACACGGCAGTTAGAAGCCATTAAGGCGAATATAATGACTAAGTGGTGCTAGACTTATGGTTAGTTTGTACGGAGTAGCAGCTGGGTAGAGTGATTGTGACATGTAATTTCAGTGTAATTCGGGATTCACTTTGAAGTGAACCTCGATCACAAAGACCGTATGTGAAGCAAAGGAATGGCGGATGCTGCCTACTCTCAACAGTTCATGCCATGATAGATCAGGTGCATGTTTGGACGCCACAGGTAGATAAAGTATGGCAATTATCTGCGTCAGTTACGACGCTGATGAACGAATTGACCGAGACCTGTTTCAAACTAATCGTGAACGAATTGAGACTGCATTTCATACTCCGGACATGGGGGTGCACAGTGCTCGTCAAAATAAGTCGACTAGAGAGTGCGGCTAAACAACCGCATCGTCCAATCCCAGCACAGACCACCAATGCGCACATTCTGGTGGTTTAGCCGATCATTCTGTTGCGGTCTATGAAGCACCCAGGAATCGTGAGGTACTTAGCAGCCAACTGAAATCTGGGGTCGATTGTTGCTAACCCGAACCACGGCGCAGAATGGTCTACACGTCTCACTTATATTTCACATGCTGTGTACGTGGGATTATTCCTAGTGCGCATGTTTGACAGCGAAGCGTCTGTGTGACGTGTCAACGTAAGGATGAGGTCTGTACATTTGTACAACAACAAAGTAGTATAAGTATACTGACAAACCCTGTCTTTCCGAAAAGAGTCCTCTAGACAAACATTTCCATCTCAGGTTTCCAAACAAAGTGATGTAATGGCTGATTTTCCCGAGTCTCGTTTTTCGAGACCCGTTTTATGAGAAACAAAACATTGCGCAATACCTTCTCGCTGGCGTCGTTTTCATCGCTCTAAGAAACCGTTTCGATTCCTGTTGGTTTATTCCGCTGTGCGACACTGCGCCATCGATCGTTCTCTTTTTCTTTCCAGCCGGTGCACTTTTGAACACCCCAATCAGTGTTGGGAGAAGAAACACCAAAACACCTTCAGCTGGGTGTCCGTATGTCGTCCGATTTATTTTCCCGCATTAAATCCCCTGTTTGAAAGTCCGATATTTTGCTTTGGACTGTTGAGATAAGTGTGAAGTGTGTGAACCGAGCGATCATTCGTACCAATCCGTAACAAAGGGTAAACTGGGCGCTGAGTACGGTGTTTCAAACGAACAATATCAAATATTGGAGACTAAGAAAGGACACATTAGAAAAGGTATTGAAGTCGGTGCTACAACAACACCACACAGACTGGTGGAGTCTCGGGGACGCGTCGTATGAAGAGATAGCGAAGCACTAGCCATAAATGTAGACGATATCCGACTCGAGTGGTGAACTTGTGGGATAAGTAGCACTGCGGGCTGTGCCGTGCGAACTGGAGTCTAGTGGAAGTACCTCATGAAGGTGCCAGCGGGACGCAGATGTCATTACACGATTGGGTCAGGTAAATAAGACAGTGGTGAAAGAATGATTGGCAGAAATCAATGATGCGAACACCATAAAGCACTCACAACAAAGACGTGTAACAGGGTGTCACTGATTTCGGTTGGAAAAACCCCGTTAGCACGCAGTTCTTTCCTACGCGCGCAGCACACCCACTTCTAAGAGCATTTAGACCACGTTTTCAAATGCAGTTTCCTTATGCAAATTTACGACTCCGTCCGACTTCCACAATTTCAATATGTAATTCAGTAGTGGTCTGTAACATAAGGATCCAAATAGCGAAAAGCACCCGATCCAGCGACTGTGAATGTGCTGCATCCAGTGGGAGTTCTTACGAGCCAGTGTTGAGACTCACATCGCATGGAAGATGACACACACCAAGCTGACTCGGTCCTACAATCAATGCTTTTGTGCGCTAAGCTATGTGATGATCGATTGGTCACTGGGCTTTCATCAAACTAAATGTCGCAATGAGAAAACCGTAGACGCCGACGAAGCAACTGGCTAGAAAGTATACGAGAAATACGAACTATCATTTAACGTAGGCGAATCGATCTCTGTAGCAGTGAACAGAAACAATCACAGTGAGCCAGCGCCTTGTACCTAGACTTCGGTGCCATAGAAACATGATGATTATATTAATAGAGAGTGATAACAAATAGGAAGAGTAGGAATTTAAGTAAGGCCTAAATGCCCCGAAGAAACAGTTGGGATCAATTCACCAGCACGTTATCAGTGTCATGCAACCACAAACAGCAGGTTGCCGTTTGAGAGTGCTTCTGCTCAGATTACACCACTGAAAACGGCACGAGAAGCATTCTATAGGCGCGAGCCGAATGTGGGGATGTTCGTAAACGACGCACCACTTTTAAACCAAGTCTTGTAACGTTTCGAGCCAAGCATAAGTTGGATCGTGTGGACTATAGCCAGGAAGCTGAGAATGGTCAATAGCTCCCAAACAAATCATCGGAGACTTCAGGTCCTGTCGCCACATGAAGAGTTGCTCTCCTGCGCGCAATGCCTCAATCTAGATCAGGCGGACAAACAAGTGTTCTCGATAAGCTGTTGGCAAGCCAAATATATACAGTTTTATTCCAGATCTATGTGCGCTCATTGAACACGTTGCCCGGTGTGCATGGTATGCAGTCGGTGCATCTAATTGGATGGAAACACAAGGTGGTGGGTCGATGATGTGGCATTAAAAAATGGATGGAGACTTGGTTAGCCTGACACGTGCCATCTTCATGGATAAGGGTCTCGCGATGGGCCGCATCAGTAGTTGAAAATATAGTCGTTGCACACTTGCATTCAGCTTCCGCACCTAGCTGCTAATACCCCGTACAGATGGAATGTGCATTGATGATCCATTGGCCCAGTTTAACACTGCACATAGTAACATAACTAACATCATCGAGCTAGAATGTAACGATTCGTTGGCATTTTTAGATGTCCAAATCAACAGGGCATCAGGCGGGTCAATGCGGAGGATGGTGCACAGAAAAGAAACCTGGAATGGACAGTACATCCATTTCGCTAGTTTTGTTCCGATAAGTTAAAAAAGGAACCTCGTCCGTTGCCTAACAGAGAGATCGAGGAGAATATGTACAGACGATGCGCTTTCAGATGAGCTGAACTTTATACGAAGCGTACTCGAGCATAATGGGTACCCTGAGAAATTCATTCAGAGGCACATGGAACCACGAGTACAAAAGCTCAGACCCGTTTCCGCGGAGAAGCGAATGATATACTTTACTTGTCGTTATCATTTAAGGGTGACGCGATAGCGGAACGGACCACCCGAAGACTTTCCTTAGCAACAGAGAGAACATATTTTGCCGCTAATCTTCGCGTAAGCTTCACCTCAACACCGACTGTGCGCCAACAAGTTAAAGACAGGATACCTCGGTCGCAGACCTCTTCCTGTGTGTACAATTCCTCTTGCTCGTGTCGAGCAAGGCATATTGGGAAAACGAGCAGGCGACTGTCCGTTAGGGCTCGAGAGCATTGCCCAGGTTGGCTCTACAGCGGCACGAGGAACAATGTGAAGAGGGCAGTATTGTCGCACCTAGTTGACTCCAATCACCAAAGCAATTCGCATGACGCATTCACACCGATTTACTGTCCCCGGACGTTACACACGGGAGGTCAGATGTCGCCTGCTGTCGACAGCATAGGCGATCGCAATTCGGCTCTATGTGTGCAGAAAAAAACTCGTCCATACTTCAACCCTGACTTGGCCTCAGACCAACGCGACTAACTATGGCAGTCACGCCACTTCACTTGACCTCGCCTCAATCAGACCAAACACGTAGACTTATCGATCAGTTACTCTGCTTCAGTGACCCAATTTAAACCCATTATTTAAAATGTTTTGGAAAACTGGTAGCTCGGGTTGATAATTCAGTTGCTCATTTGTTCGCCGAGCTGCGAAATTTGTTTGCAAACGTTGCTGATTCAGCAAGATTACACTCCACACCTCGACGCACTGATGATGCCGCCTCGCATGGCTGTGAAACGTTTGCAAACAAATTTCGCAGCTCGGCGAACAAATGAGCAACTAAACTCATTGTGTCTAATCTAGCTTTGTTGTGGTTGTATTAGCCTGATGATGAAGCCCTGAAAACAAGCTTGTTCGCTACTTTCTGTTGCTGATGTCGTCTCTGGGAATTATTTCTCAATTGATCTCTATCCACTCTCCAATATATTCTGTTTACGTTTGGTCTCAGTTCTCCCACCATTGTTAGTCAATGTTGACGACGTAAGTCATAGCAATGGGAACTACTGCTTCCAGACCATAGTTGTTTAAAAAGGAAAAGGATTGTTAATCTAACGCCCTAATGTGACCGCTGCTGTTTAATCTTCCTCCACGTGTCTGGTCTTTGTGCATAAGATCAATAGATAGCCGGTGTGGCAAGAGGAGACCGGTTAATAAGTACCGATCGGAAGAAATCCGTAGATCTAATTGGGGCTCCCACAGGGAGTGAGCAACTCCTCGCAGGCACCAGCGGTCACAGGATCAGAGAAAGGAGCTAGACTACTATCACGTAACCAAGCGTATTTGTCCCTCCGGTGAAGTCAATATGTCGCGGGCAAACGATAAAATCGACAACGCAACAGAAAAGTAAAAAATGGTACATACAGGTACACAGTGATGTGACTGCAAGTGTTCCAACCAGCCGAACTGTCAACCACAAACTTACCCGGCGTCCTGTGCCTCATGGGCACGGATGATGGACAGGAGATTGTTGGTTTGTAAAAAGTGACAACATGCACTGAAACTGTAAAAGTAAGAACAGCCTCGCACAGTGTTGTGTGTGAAGTGTTCGGACGATCGTTCTTGTCCAAATTCTTCGCACGGATCGGACCAAAGCAGATCGCACATAGCACCAAAGGCTGGTGGTTCTTTGAACCGATCGAGCTGAAAAAATGCACAGCAAATGATAGGGCGTTTTAAGGGTTGGAGACTGGAGATGTGAAAGACTTAATGTGAACTATATCGTCTAAACAGACAAATTGTAATGTGGAACCCATGGTAAGGGAAGACAAACAGGTCGATTGGTTGGAGGGTCAAGTTTGGATTACACGTTGTGTGATTGGATTGCGACACGCAACCTCAATGTAATGGACTGTGATTCACATTGAAATGAACCTTAGTCACTGCGATCGCTGGGACCGTATTCAAAGTAGATGGAAATTGGGTATTGCCCACCCGAAAACACTGCACAGCCACGGCGCGTTTCGATGTAATTTCATCTCATCAGGTGGAGACAGCAGGATTTGAACCCACGACCATTGGAATAGCAGCCAACACTACTACCCCTTTGGCTACCGGGTCACAAAATGTGTTGCCCATCGTGACCCGGTAGCCAAAGGGGTAGTAGTGTTGGCTGCTATTCCAATGGTCGTGGGTTCAAATCCTGCTGTCTCCACCTGATGAGATGAAATTACATCGAAACGCGTCGTGGCTGTGCAGTGTTTTCGGGTGGGCAATACCCAATTTCCATCTAGGTCGATTGGTTCGTCAAATGACTAAGTAAGTAGTTAGTTAGATTTTGCGTCCACATGAGATGTCGAGAGTGAAACTAACAACAGAACGAAATCTTCCGTCATATTAGTTGGTAGATGTGTAAATGGGTCAATTACCGAATCATGGTTCTAACAAGACGGTACCTGACGATTGCGATAGTCGCTTCCCTGTCCTGTTGATCTAGCGTGCATCGCTGAAGAAATAGAACTGTATATTTTTCCCAATCAGTTGCATCCACAGAGCGTTCAAACTTCTCCTTAAGGAAATCATGTTCGTCCACAAATCTTCTATGATGGTTCGTGCAACTAACACCTTCGATCCAACGAGCGCGAACGCACCTAAATGGGTACTGTTGGTCGAATGCTCAAGCAATCAATCCACCAACCAATAGCATTAAATTCCGTGTGCTTATCGGATATACTAATTGTTTGGGATTGTTCACCAGACTAACTGTACACATTTGGATGTGTTCGCGTCCGCTACATACAATTTGATACCGGAAAGTCATCTTGAGAGGTCAATGGAGGAATACGAGTTTCCTAAGGAGGAATTTGAAAGCGCTACAAATGTAATTGACTGGGAAAAAGCATAGAGATAGTATATTTCGCCCGGACTCGAATAATTGCACCCGACCGTGTGACTGGAACCAGGAACGCTAACACACACTTTGAGTGAATAGTACACCGGTGATTGTATTATTATTATACCATACACGTTACCTAGAGATGAAAAACACCTCAGCTACTGTGCTGCAATACAAAAAAGAAAATAAATATAACAGTTGCATGCCAGCTGAGCTACCAGCAACGGATGGGCATAGTTCCGGTAAGCTATCACCTGGCTTGCCGAACAACCTCCTCGTGGTGCCAGCTGGGTGGTTCGGGATTTTCCTGTTCCAGCAAATGGTTCGGCAGCAGTGTTCCAGGACGTGGTGGGTTTTCGCCTGGCAAGCGTTCTCCCTATAAAAAGCCACGTATGTCCGTTTAACAACACTGTGACGTGGCGGACGTGACTCGCCACTAAATAAAGTCACTGCCCCTTGCTTCATCCTGGCGAAGCATTGCACTCCAGCAACTTTGGGCTGTAATTCTGGGGAGCATTGGGCCCCTGTTTGACAAAGAAACAAACGACAGGAGTATGAACTGAGCAATCAGTCAGCGGCTCCCAATGGGCGCAATTCCATGAATTCGCTCCGCTGCTTTGCGGGCAGGCTATTCAGCCAAAGGCTAGGGGTGGTGTCCCCTAAGTCAACACCCTACTTCGGTTTGGGCAAACGGGCAGTATCTCGCCCTCTGGCGAAACCATGGACTTTAATGTGTTGTGTTTTATTTTACAATTTCTGTACCTTCTTTTGTGTTCCATGGTTCCTGATGGTTCTATGTCTATCCATAGACTGTTGAGAAATATAAAAATATATAAGCTACCAGCCTGCTACTAGGCAACAATAAAAATTATTATGTAAAATTATATTACGCTATGAAATGAGATCGTGGTTGGAGAGGGAGGGTAAAAGGGATGAGGAGGGACAAAGAAACTCACAGCAGGAACGCCACTGAGGTCGGCTCCTTGTCATGTCAGCAAGTGTATCCAGCCAAACGTGTGCATCGTCTCTCGGAACCCAACCAGGGAGCCGTGACGCTCCAACCGAGGCCAGCTCCAAAGTGAGGGCTTTCATCCCCTCGACCAAGTCATCGCTTAGCCACCCTTCCTCTTCATCCATCCACACTGACGGTGAGCAAACAATGCACCTCGCGGAAGTCGGTAGGTTGGCATGCGCAATACATAACCGAGCCATTAGAGCCTGGTGTGTGAAATTGCGGTGCTGAGCATTTCAGTTCCTTTTCCTGTGCCGTAAACAAGGCGCCGAACACACTCGTTACTCACACGGTGTTCCCACCAGATGTGAGCCAAACTGTGAAGCCACCGATGGTCGAACGTAACTAGCCTCTTCATGTCCGCCGATCTTAGGGGTCAGGTTTAACAACCGTACAGTAAGGTCGAACGCATCTCTGCATTGTACACTCTACCCTTCAGGGCGAGAGTGGTGTCGCGCCGCCGCCATAGGTGGCGAAGGTTAGTAAAAGCACTTCGAGCTTTCGCTATACGGTTCGTGATCTCATCTTCAATCCCAAGGGCGCTGATACAAATTCCCAGGTATTTGAATTTTTGGACGACTTCTAGCTGATCTCCACCAAGGGTCAGTGCAGGAGGCGATCCCTGCCAATCTTGGAGGAAAGCTTTGCATTCCGGTGGTGCAAAGCAAAGCCCGAAGCCGCTGACAGCCAGTGCTAATCTGTCCAGTGCAACTTGGCACGTCTGGGAGCTGTCACAGATGAGGGCAATGTCGTCTGCATACTATAAATCAAAAAGTCGTTCTCTTGGGGGTAGCTCCACACGTTCTAAGTTATGTCCTGTAAATGTAATCTCCATGACTTCGTCAATAGCGAAGTTGAAGAGGAAAGGTGACAACGGGCATCCTTGTCTCACACCGCTGGAGATATTGAAGGGTGGCGACAGCTTACCGTAAGCCCTCACTCTGCTTGAGCTACGCGCGCATAATGCTCGGATAATATTTACACATTTCTCGGGCACAGCTTTCTTGAGTAGACAGTTCCAAACGGCACATCGATCAACCGAATCGAAGGCACCTTTGATGTCAAGGAACACGACTACGGTGGGCCGCCAATATGCGTGACGGTGTTCCAACAACTGACGTAAGGTGAAGATGTGGTCAATGCAACCACGACCCCAACGAAACTCCGCTTGCTCCTCACGAATCTGGCTTTCACGAGCGCCAGTCAGTCTGTGAAGGGTTATGGAGGCGAGTAATTTAGAGGCGATGGAGATCAGACTGATTACTCTATGATTGCCGCATTCCGAACACGAGCCTCCTTTGAAGATGGGAACAATAACGGAGCGGATCCAGTCGGTTGGGACAGTTTCCTACTCTCACAGTATCACTAGTAATTCATGTAAATCACTAACAAGAGCAGAGCCTCCGAATTTGAAGAGGGCTGGAGGAAGATCATCTGGTCCCGCGGCTTTGTTTAATTTCAACAGTCCGATCGCACGTTCGACTTCTGAGCGAGAGGGCGGATCCAAAGGGACAGCTCACGGAGCAGGGCGATCACTGGCCGGCGAGGAATCGAACAATTCCGGCCGATTAAATTTCTTTTCAAACTGTTCAGCGCTATGCTCTAGACGTGTTGACAAATCGTGCATAGGCTGTCCACTCTCGTCACGTATAGTTTCACTAACACCAGGTCTCCTGCTGCGCGGTCCTCGTATCGGACGGAATAACATACGATGGCTACCAAGCGCAGCGGCCACCTCCATCGCTGATGCACGAAGAGACCAGCAAGATTCGCGGTATCTCCTCAGGCTAGCACGAAGTTGATCGGACAGTCCATAAATGAAAAGTCGATGGTTTCAATTACCGACAGCGAGTTCTGCCAAGCAGATATTAGCAAGGCAACAGTAGTTAGAATGTATTCCGATGTAGATGAAACCGGCTACGGAGTGCTATGTTTGATAACACTGAAGAACTCTTAATTCTAGAGGCATATCAGCAAATTGCGGGGGGGGGTCCACTAAAAACACGTCAACAAGAGCAAAAGATTCCGGTCTGGTTAGTTAAGTCTCAAAGTGGGCAACAATGATGGCCAGAATCCGGATGAGGTGCAAGAGCGTCTACAAGTCATTTCGATTCATTATCAAATAAAGGGAAGATGTGGAGCAGCTCAGCTGCATCATCGTCATTATACGCGTTACCTAGATGCGGAAAACACATCAGCCATTGTGCCGCACACATAAGAAAAAAGGGGAAAATACGCAACAAAGGTATGTCAGCTGAGCTACTAGTAACGGATGGACACTGTTCCGGAGAACTACCATCCGGTTATTAAAGAGTAGAAGAACAATCATATTATAGCTAGTAAACGTGATCGTGGTTGGAGGAGGAGGCTAAGCAGGAGGGACAATATCAACACCACTGAGGTCGATTCCCCGTCATGTCAACTAGTGTTCATCGTCTTCCGGAACCCCATCAAGGAGCGGAGGCAAGTTTGAACGAATGGCCTCCGTTCCTCTTGACCAAGTCATCACTTAGTTCCCCCCTATCTTCTCCCATCAACACCAAACCGGCGCGCAAACAACGCACATCGCGGGAGTCAGTGTGCTGGCATGCGCAACAATCCAGCTGGAATTGTGTCAGTACCCCATAGATACATCAAGCATGTGGACATGTTAAGCGGATATTATGGCTTCGAAAGAACAGCAAACGTGTCACTTATGAGCATCGTGAGCTGTTCCCCGCAATGTTTCCAGCCGAGAACACCGCGAGTAGTGTGGATTGTCTGGACCAGAAAGCAGGATGGATGAACAACACTCAGTGCTTTTTGTGTAGATTCGTCGCAGTTAGACACAGACAGACAGTCACCACACATCCAGGAAAGCGCTAGACGGCCGTTTTGTCCTACTGGGGCTCGTCAGTAGCGCGCACCCGCCGAATCCTGCCGGATTCGAACCCACGACCTTACTCTTGCGAGTCAGCGACTTATGTCACTGAGCCATGGGCGACGGCAGCGGACCGCCATGACTGATGTCTAACTGCGATATAGCGCAGCTCATCCTCCACTGTCTTGCATGTTATGATTTGCAGAGGACAGGGCTGGCCCCCAGAGCAACGACTTCATTTGCAAGCCGCCACCAATCGAGGTGGTAAGTATGCAACACACAGTGCATTGTTCGGAGTTCATTTTTCGCCATCAGGCCAAAGAACGTCCATCCTCCAGAAACATACGCCAAACAACAGCAGAAACACAAAACAAAGCGTGCAGGTCGTAGAAACTGCCACGACCAACCACCGGATGTAGAGATAGCCGGAAAAGTCACGGGTCTACAATCACATGATCAGCCAATTGGCACTCTGATCACTTTAAATGAGCAGCCAATTGTTTCTTTTACATATTACTACCGAATGAAACTTGAGCAGTGTAGCCACGGTGATGATGAAGAAGTCAATGAGAAAAAAGTGTTTGCGTTTAGGTCACCGCTTTATGTTATTCATTCTGAAAGCTCTTATCATGTTGTAACGCTGCCCTCGCCTCTACACTCTGCACTGCTAACCCAGCTGGGGAAGAAACAAAGGACCGAAGTATATTAGTGACAGAATGTGGTCAATTTTATAGGTTACTTGTTTTCATCTCCGGCTACACGTTCGGAGCTGACTCACACCAAGTACCTGGACAGCTTCCATACCTACTAGCGGTCTGCACTGGGCAGCTGTAGTCGCGCTCACTCAGGGCTGTCGCGTTGCAATCTGTGTCATGCTGACGGGTTGGTTACATCAGCTTCCCGCGTGACGTAGCCGTGCTACCACCGGTCGGGCAGCAAGTTGAGTCATGCTGACGGACTGATTTCATCAGCTTCCGGTTTGACCATGGCAAGGAGCCTGTCAGCCGCTCAAGTGGACTTGCCGATTTCGCTCCGCCAGAGTGCACCGTTGTTAGCCGCTTCGCCTCCACGACAGCTACTCCGAACTGAAGCTGCTTCCCCACCACGCATGCTTCCTTCAATTCAGATATGCTTGTCTTTACACCGATCAGTTGTCTTGGTGGTTTTCTTCTCCTCCTGGTCGGTCTTCTTTGTATGCTGTCTGCGAGCACTTGAGTCGTGCATAGTTCGGCCTCCGCTGATCTGCGTGCCGGATCCATTTCTTGTTTCCAACCGTTAGTTCGTAATTGACTCCGCCAATTCCGCCTATCACCGATTCTGTCGACCGCCTCCTCGGGCGACGGAAATCTCTCACGTACTTCAAGTCACCCATCTTGAAGTGATTGACCCAGTCTGCTCGATTTTTCTCCATATGCCATCGCTTTATAGTTGGACTGTGACTCCAAATCTAACGGCTTGGAAATGATGATAGTAAGACTTGATTGACTTGCGGTTGCTGACACATGCTGTTCACTGCCTGATCAAGCAATTCCAACTTATGCATCCAGTCGAGACCCAGCGGATTTAACCCCGGTTGGTCTGTCACAAAGCACGTATTGCGGATGTGTTGGCCTCGGAAATCGACTTGACAGTTCAATTCAACAGGCAACTTTAACGTAGCACCTGAAGCATTCCGTGCCATATGGGCCGTTTGTGTGAGTGTCGGCCGCCCCAACGTGCGTTACGTGTCGCTAGAGATCAGAGTGATATCTAAAGCAGTACTAGGTTGTAACTTGACTTGCTTGCCATTGATCTCCACCATGGTGCAATTACGCCTGTTAACGCCATCAACCTTGAAAGTCGCTGTGATCGTTCTGATCCCAACCGACCGACTGAATGGTGTGGCGTTGTTGCACTTCTTTCTCGACAAAATAGAACAACGTGCCAAACAACACGGCTCTTTATGACCTCTTCTGCCGCATCAGTTGCAAACGTGATATATTAATGGACAGTGTCGAGCAAAACTTCATTCTCCACAAAACCAACAAGCAGTGGAAGGTTTGGGATGTGATGCACTCACATGAGTTGATGCTTTTTGGGGAGTTCAGTAGATTGCACAAATGAGGTCATGCTCGTGCGTAGTGGACAACTGCTGAATTATTGATGTATGAGGTTCATCATTTTCTGGCACTCACCGATCACTTGCTGCAACGTGAAGTTAGGATACTGTTCAATCTCGTTTATCATTCTTATTAGTATATCTGCATCTTTGGCTGCTTGTAGTCCGCGAACGTATATGAGGCACTTGTACTGGTCGCCAGTCACCTTGTGAACTGTGAACGTGCCCACTCTCAATTTAAACGGCTCGAGAAGGTGACCCAATCTTCGTCATTTTTCCTTGCCATCGTGAGACACTTGTACCGGATGCTGTGTAAGAATATCTGCTCATAAAAAGTTGTGACAGGACTGAGACAATTTCGTCAAAAGATAGGTCAGTGCTCTTCATTGGAAGATGAAATTTGTAAACTTTTCATGTTCAGTCGCACTCAGCTTCCGGAGCATCAGGCGAATTTTCTTCGCCTCTGCTACATTTGCGAAATCAACACAAAACATGTCTTCATACTTGTGCAACCAGGAACCGAATGTCACTCCAGCATCCACATCATAATGGAATTCACTGATCTGTTGAGACAGGATTTCTTGAAAGAAGACGCTTTCACTTGACCCTAACCCTGGGCTTCTGCAACAACATCTCGATGGGCTTGGTCTACTACTGCAAAAGCGCCAGCACTTGTTCGATGCTGACTGCCATTTTTGGGTTCGATTGAAAACATCGTCGCCACTGTTGTAAAGTTTGCGCTCGCCTCCGCTCTCTGCAATGCGAACCCAGCCGGGAAGAAACAGAACATTGAAGCCTGCTAAATATCGGCAGTAAGTGTCGAAATCAATGTAACGCATTCGTTATTGGTTAGTTTGACCATCGATGCTTGTCACTCACCACGTTTGGTTGATATATTGGTGTTGTCTGGTCCGAGTAATGACCGGATTAGTAACGATGAGCACACAAAAACACCATGGTAGGGTAGAATCGCCCTCATAGTTAGTTGTCTGTTGCATACGGAATCTAAGACTAAGAATTAATTTGTGTTTCAGAGCACCTGCTGTGTGTTTGGGTGGGAGCCCGCAACCCTAACCATTGTGCCAAGCGTTGATAACGCATCGCAGCGATCAAGACAGCAGCCGTTAACTAATAATAATATAATAATGTGTCAGCTGTACGCCGTAACGGCGCTTCGCTGCCGCGCGACCACCACCAGTCGCGCGTGGGCTGAGTATACCGCGAGGACACCCACCCCTACGCGGATTCGAACCGGTGACCTTGTGGTTGCAAAGCAAACGTGCAGACCACTCGGCCATCGGCCGACAGACCACTCGGCCCTTAACTAGGTCCCGAGTTCGAGCACTAGCTCCGGCCATCTCTACCGCATCAGTACAAACGAGGTGGAAACCAGTCGTGGGGTATAAGTGTTGGGATGAGCAACACCGAAATCCCTTCGTTAATAGAAACCCCTTATCGACACCAAAGATTGATACTGTCGTGAGGGTAGCTCAAGTCTTTGCGATAAGTGGGCCAACTTCATCTTGTGCATGTGTAGCTACCAAGGCAAGTGTGAAGATGGAGATGTCACAATAGAATGTTCCACAATGTAACGCGCATTCGAACACAGTTGATGTTGTATGCAGACATGGTGAACGGAACAGTGTGGTGACGTAAGATTCGAAGATATCAGACTTAGAATGTTGAAAGGATTGCATACTCACCTTACGAACATCGTTCAGAGTGTGCAACTCTGGGGACAGGCCACCATGAACACACAGAAACTGCTGGTTGATGAGCGCGGCCAGAGGTAGACAATCGAACGCCTGCATGCAAGCGTCGTACACCCGTTCGGTGCTTTTCATGATACCTGAAAAGGGAGCAGCGCTGAGTTGGCATCAACATCCTAAACCACTGCGGTTAGATGCTAGAGGGATTTGTAACTAGGGCGTTTGAAGCTAGACGTACGGTGGATAAGCAAGAGGCATTTTCGATCATTCCTGACTTCTAGTTGCTAACAACGAAACATGGGTCACAGGTGACCTAGTTAAAGAGCGGAGAACGCAGCCAGAAAAACTAGCGAATAGATGGCAATAGTGATGCCAGTGATGAGTCCGAAGTGTATTGACCTCGAGTCACAGAATCAGACACAGATGACTATCCTGCTTCTAATTTGGGGCAACTCCAGGAAAAGCGGTCATCGGCTTACTGGGAGGCGCAATTTGCTTCATACAACTCATGGTAATGTTTGCGTGAGAAAGGAAAAGCTGGTGCGGTATAGTTACTCAAACCGAGGAGGCGAAGATAACTAATCGTTGAACGCTATGGAAATTATGATGGTCACCGAGGTTCAAAGAGAAAGCATTGAAAGACACACGGTGATCTGAGACAAAGAAGTAAGAGCAGACAAACCATCGCTGCTTCTTTGTCACGAGAAGTAAGCTAGCAATCTGGAGTCAGGTGACCAAATAGCAGCTGGTGAAATGAGGTGGATTTTTACGACCGAGAGTAATGTGACCGCCGAAGAGAAAGGCGATGTTATCCCCATGGAACAAATCGGCCAAACTTTCGTTAGAAACAGAATAGTTAAGAGAAAACGAAAAAGGTGCAGTGGAATAGAGGGACAAAAAGAGAGCTGGGAGCCATGAAAGAGCACATCAAGAAATATAATGTGGCCAAGTCAAGCACACACACAGTGCGAAAATGGCAAAACGAAAAGATAAAGACCGTCTGTCGCATGTTGAGGGGAATTTTGAGGGGTGGCCTCTGCAGGCCCAAGCCATCGACGTATAAGCAGTGAGGTTATGGAGAAAAACGTTCGGTAGATTCTGTTTGGCTTGAAAAATCGTTGATGAACAGCAGATTTACCAATGCAACGTTCCTATCGCATACCAGTAAAGATCTGAATGCAGCGGAGATAAAAAAACAGACAGTATTTGAAGAACCATTGCGTGGACGGCTTGTACCTATCAACAATACAATAGAACCGTGAGTATCGTAACTTTGTAGATTTGACCTATCAGAGAGGTCGAAGTTGCACCGGCGTCAGGGAAGATGCCCGTTACCAAATATTTGGATTTGGGAAATGTCAGGAAACCAATCCGTTAAATGATAACAACAAGGCAGCTTCAAAGGCAAACAAACAGGCCAAGCACTGTTAACGGACGACCAGAGCATCAAGTCAAGCTAGGCCCACGAAAAACATAAGAAATGGTGATGAACTCGAAGCCTTGTAGGCTGCAGTGCGGAAGATGCGTTTTTTGATCAGTAGTTCGGAGTAAACTCCACGTATCACCTAGACGGAGGAGTACTCAGACCCAAGATAAATGAGCACATTCCGACCCCTATTCGTTTCGGTCGGAAAGCCGGGACAACGGCATTGCCAGCATTGAAATATCTCACGTTCAATCAGATGAACACAGATTACAGTAACTTCGAATGTTGCATCGATCCGTAGAGAAAAAGTGCGTTGGGTTTGTAGATCGTGTGTTTTTGAGCCTTAATTGGGGCAAAGTACAAAACCCAGTGAAAGCTATCACCGGATAATGTACGCACGTACGCACTAATGCGCACAAATACGGGCGCGCGCGCGCAAACACTAACACAGTGACAAGTCCGGAAGTGAAGACTTAGTCTAAAGGTTCTATACGAATCACAGAATGTGATGGAAGCGAGTGATACCGTGTGTGCGTTACAGCTCGCGGTAATGGTTCGTCATTCAAATACAGCTGAAGGGGCAAATGTGGTGGTAAACATATAAATACCGTGCAGTAATGGGTAAATTCAAGAAGACGGATGTATGAAATGATTAGAAATGACCATGGGTTGATCGCAAGTAACGCGTGGTTGACAACCTCCACATCCAGTGTTATAAGGCTACGAAAACTCACAGAACCCAATATGCGGTGTAGTTCTCGAAAAGCTGACTTGAAATCAAAATCTATTGGTCACAAAAAGATTGCGAGTTGTAGGTAGCATGGTATGGGACTTCGCGGATTGTTACCATCTAGTATTCACCTACTCCTGTCATCATTGTGGACCCGCAAGCGTAATCCAATGCCAGCAATGCAACGCACTCAACCATGATCGAAAAGTTCAGACCCAGGGGCCCAGTTGTACAGAGGGGCTAGTAGACCGAGGGAAATTTCTTTCTCGCAGCACAGATGCCGGCGGTTCGAAAATACGGTTCTAGCTCGTGCAATGTATGAACTAATTTCAGCAATGTATACAATAAACATGTTATTGAATCAAAAAGCAGTCCCAGCTGAGTGCGATGTCGGCTCCACGAACCGGTTATCAATGCCTACCCGACCGCGGTCAAATAAAATAAACAGACTGTTCGTGAGTTAGATTAACGAAATTAATGGATTAGAAGCGCATGATTCGACAGAGGTCTTGCACTCATCAGCGAATTACGACTACGTTGTCGAGGAATTGGGGAAATTGTGTGAAACTAGAAATAGCCGAACGAGTTGAGTGGGTGACATCGAGCCCAATCCCTCGTGATGCTCAAAGGCGAACTGAAAGTGTGAATTCGGTTGCTAGCGATACAAGTGCCAGTCGGTGGAGTATAGTATGCAAAGGAAGGAAGTAGAAGAAAACACTGCGGACCGTACCAGTCATAAACACGTGGTAAAGTGTTAGAGAGTTGCCGAGTCGTCCTCGGATCATCAAGCAGCAACAGCACTGGTGGTATTGAGGAGTGTAGACCGTTGAAATGTGGAGTTAATACGATGAGGATCGTACATATACAGCAATGTAAACAAACTTACACTCTTGTCGGAAAGTGAAGTACTGCGTCAAATGTCGACACTCGTGGTTTCCACGAAGGAGGAACAGAGTGGTTGGATACAACATTTTGAGGCAGAACAAGTAAATGACACACTGCACAGTCGACCGGAAGGAGGGGTGGCCAAATTCCCATACGATGTGTGGTATGATGGACGGAGAGGAATAGGGGACGAGAGGATGGAGATGCATACAAAATATGAAAGGGGAATAAGTAATACTTGGGAAAATGCGTTAGTATAACACGCAAGGTTAGGCCACTCAAATGAAACTAGCTAATGTGCATTAGTGAATGGATGTAGGGTTAGAGAAGCGCGTGTTTTAATCGAATGAGATGACAACAGAGAGGATTACACAGAGATTGGGCGCGTAGAGAAAGTGAAAACTATCAAACATTGCTGTATGATCATCGCTTACCGCATGCTTAGTCAAATACTATGCATTTACGAGCCTCGGTCGTCTATAAAAACAATGTGGAGTGTTCGGGGAATTATACAGCATAAAGCGAGAGCAATCGCTCAAAAAAGTCGCCCGCAATGCGGGTGATGAGTGACATTCTCAGACTGTAAACTAGTCAACTTACATCGGCCAAAAGAGCTATGGAAATTACCGGTCAATGGTAGAAGACGTGCATAAATGTTTTCACAAATAGTTGGAAGTCAGTGATGCAAATCGCCAGCAAGCGGTAGCAGCGATAAAATGTGAAATGAAAGAGCAACAGCGTGTGCAAACCGAGACAGGTTTGGGGTTGTTTCCAGACTAATTATGAAAACACAGGAAAGAATCTTGTCAGATTATACAAACCTCCAGGTAGTGGCCTCATGTTATCCGGGTTACAGAAGACGGCATGGAATTACTCGGTGAAAACGGTAATGAGAGTAGGAAAAAAGGTGCGAAAATAGGTCACAAGTGGTTAAGAAATTGAGGTCAAATACCCCGCGTTCATCGTCATCACCAAAAAACTATATCATAAATATCATTGTCTGATAGTTTGAATGAACCCTTGTCTGAATGGATTACTACGTTTAATCTCCCTTCTGACAGATCGTTTAGAGCAGTACTGAGAGAGTGGAACCCCTAAAATCTATCCGCTTCAGATACGGATCCAGCGGATCAGATGACCAGGATCCACTTGAACATTAATCGCGGTTCACACTGGGATCGGGTGCCGTGATCCACAACGAGTATCTCGAATGAGAACCCACAATTAGCAACTGACCGCTGTGATGTTCGTCGCCACAAGTTTAGTGATGTAGGTGTCAGCAGGCAACTGCGGTGATGTGCCAGTGCTGGATGGCACGGATGGACAGCCCCTAACCTCCAGCACTGAGCCTGCGCCCGCGTTGGCGGCGCACTTCGCTTCTGTATTTGCGAATAACCAGGTGTCTGTTCCGAGTTCGACGTGTACCGCTTTTACCGAACTCGATAGTCTGCATTGCGGCGTTGAAGAGGTAGCTCAACTACTCGCCAACCTTGACGGCACCAAACCTGCCAGACCTGTTGGGTTTCACCCACTGGTTCTCAAGTCACTCTCAACCATCCTCTCTCCTATCGTGACTGACCTTTTCAACAGGTCGCTGTCCGAAGGTTCATTGCCGGTTGACTGGAAATGTTCGGTAGTGAAGCCTATTCCGAAAGGCGGCGACCCTAGCAAAGTAGACAATTACAGGCCAATTTGCCTGACACCTATTTTGGCAAAGGTTGCTGAGAAAATCGTGAAGAAAGGATTGCTGCAGTTGCTACAGTCAAACGAGGTCCTGACGCCCGCAAAGCACGGTTTTATGCAAGGTCGCTCATGCATTACGAACTTGCTTGTGACGAGGCATGAGTGGTTGAAGGCAATAAACAAGGGGAAATCCGTCGACGTGATATTCATCGATTTCAGTAAAGCGTTTGACAAGGTCAGTCATGAGGTTCTCCTTCACAAACTCAGCTTGTGTGGAGTCGGTGCCTCACTGCACCGGTGGATCCGCGACTTTCTTGTTGGACGAAAGTGGAGGGTACAGGTCGACGATCATCTAACTGACTGGTACCCCTCTACAAGTGGCGTGCCTCAAGGCACTGTGCTGGGGCCCACTCTGTTCCTGATCCACATCAACGATCTACCGCAGCTTCTCCAGTCGCCGTGTGCCTTGTTTGCGGACGACATGAAGATTTGGAGAGAAATCGACGCTCCCCATGACTGAGGCCTACTTCAGCAAGACCTCAACCGCCTATCCACATGGTCTGCAGAAGTTCTTCTCCCAGTCAACCCAGCCAAGTCGGTATTTATGAGCCTGGGGAAGGGTGCAGACGGCCGAACCCACACCCTTGACGGCCAAACGCTATATCCCACACCCTCCGTGAAAGATCTAGGTGTACTCTCACGCTACGATTTGAAGTCCGTGGACAACACAAAGAGGTTATATCGGAACGGACTACGCATGCTTTGGGCGCTCAAACGTAGCTTCGGAACATGGTCTGAAGAGGTTGCAACTCGCCTGTTCTCTTCCATCATTAGACCAATGCTAGAGTACGGTTCGCCCGCCTACTTTCCGATTACCCGAGGCGAGGCACAAAAGATCGAATGGGTCCAACACGTTGCTACCAGGCTGATCCCGAGTTTATGTGGCTTTAGTTATGAAGACCGATGCGAGAAACTAGGACTCTACACCTTGTCCTACCGTCGGGTGCGGGTCGACCTCATTATGACCTACCGTACTCTACATCTCGGTGACTTCCCAATGCTAAGGCCAATGCTGCACTTACGAGGGCCATGCAGCACACGCGGATACAGATACAAACTTGTCGTGCCGGATGTGAAATGTGTTCCCCACCCACTGTGCTTCGAACAGAGAGTGGTAAACATTTGGAACAGTTTGCCTGAACATGTGATTGAGGCAACATCTGTGCAACAGTTCAAAACGCTGTTAGATTTGTATTTTGCCACTACTCGATTCAGAGAACGACTGCACACTTACGATGAACTATCACATTTGTGAGTCCTGAAATATTGTAAGTCGAATATTTTAAATATTATATGAGAACGACAATGATATTCACGGTTGACAACTTTTATAACGTTTTTCACCATATATCGAAAGAGCTGTACAGAATCCATTTCTACTTGCTCTATAATACAGTATTCAGTATACAAACTGTCTGAATGAAGTGCTTTTAGTTTCGTTTAATACTTTTGATTTTAGCTTCTGCCCACTCCAAAACTACGTTATCTTCGTTTCGCCAAGCCAACCTAACAGTTCGTTTCTCTCTAGCTTTGTTCTGCACTGCTAACCGTAATCCCAAGTTTTCCGGAAGAAACAACTCGGATACCCATTGCGGTTCTCGGTGCTCTGATATCAATTACTCCACTATTCCAGTGCCTGGAGTTTCTGGATCTATCTCAAAACCCTCTAGAGAGCTGTTTGTTTATTTTGTTCCATAATTCCAATGTAGAAACTGAAGCAGAAACCGTCGGACATATTCTAATTCATTCAATATATGTTCTCTCTCCCCGTTGTTGGCCACGAGTGCCCTCATCACTTGTGGTGACGTAGTGAAGCTTCCAAGTGAGACAAACTACTACATGCCTCCTGGCGAATAACAAAAGTGCCCGCTTTGACAATGATTGTATGTTGAAACAAGCAAAATTGGTAAAAACATTAAAAAGAAAGGAAAAGATCCCATTTCTCTAAGAGCTTATTTCTCTCTTGTCTGCCCTAAAGATGAGCTGATACGGTGATTACCTACTTGCCCTTATGCCACAGGAGCACAAGGCGAGATGGGTAGTGTAAGTGCGGATGAGACCTTTCGATGGAATATCGCGCATGGAAGCTGGTCCCCTATAAAACAGTTGCAACCATAACCGTATTACTTCACTTGAACTTTTTCCAGTAACATCTTTTACCCTCCAGTTAACTACTCCCTCCTAGCCTATTAAACTGATCGAACACCTCGAAAAGTTATGCGGGAATTGCTCCGGAAAACTTGAACAAAAATACATTCTTCATCATTCCGTCGTATCTAATGGTCAGACCACCCAGTTGAAGTGTATCTCGCACAGTGGAGAAATATATCACTAATATTAACTGAAAGCAAGTGGGAAGCCGAATGCGGTTTGTAACTATGCCATCAGGCGAGAGGGTCACAGTCCGTAAGAAGAAATGGACTACCGCAATAGAAACAGACGACATGTACCACAGTGTTTAGTAATCAAATGGTCATCCGCAAACCTTGCTTAGATAGATAGGGCATCAAGTCAGCTAGGAGATGAGACCGAAAGTGACGAGGGTAAGTTACAACGTTGCGAGACTCAAGGTGTCGGTGATGTACGTGGTCAGAAATACTGTTTATGCGACAAGGTATTCAGTGGTATATCCGATGTGGGATGCCTACATCCAACTGCTAGTCAGGCCAAATAACGAGTAAAGCAATGTACAGCTCTCACACCAATAACTGATTTCAGTTGTTTCGGTTGCTAAGTACTACCAATAAATGTATACTTGGTCATGGTAATAAATAGATTTGGCACCAGAAATTTACAAAGCTTCAACAAGCTACATGGTCGTCAGCACCATTTGCTAGAATATGGGAATGATCAGCATTCGGAGCGAGCGATGTGGCCATAGAATGCGCTGTAACAGTGAGGACGGCTACAGAGGGTGGTCGTCAGCGCCTAGTGTCGACGGTTCATGAGACGTTGTGTATACCGTACCTGCACAAACAGCATTTCATCACAGCACAGGAATAATGGCGGTAATGAGTGAACACCAGGTGGAGTATTCTTGACACAAACAACTACCCATCACTAGCGAGTCAGTCGACTGAAAAAGCGAATTGTTGGTCTACGATGGGCAGTCCATCGATGTAGATCAAAAAATTGGAATAAAACAGGTGCATAAGCAGTACATTGAAATCAAGTTAATCCACAATGCATCCAAAAATAATCATACTGTATTCAAGATAATCTATTGTTGCCTGCTGGCACAATCCTCCTATGAAAACGCAAGCACACAATACACACAACTTGGCTTAGAATTTGGAATCCGACGTGATCTAGCAAACTAGTGTGCTGGAGTGGCAAACAATGAGAGTGAAGATCAAATGTTCACAAGATT